TTTTTTTAAAAAAAACCCCCCCAAAAACCCCAGGGGTGTTCAAAGTTGACAGCTTTAAGACTTTAAGGTTTAGATAGGACTCTTAGAGGCGGGCAGGGCGATTGGTGAGCCAGCCAATCAGTGAGCGGCAGGAAGGGCAAGCGTGGTGCGGACGGGGGGGGGGGAGGGAACTGGAACCGGTTCTAAACAGCCCAGTAGATTTGTGGAACCTCTTCTATGGAACAGGTTAGAACTGGCAGGAACCCACCCCTGATACACACACACACACACAAATACACAAACACACACAAACAAACAGAGAGAGCACCAAGTCTCAAAACTGGAGCACCGGTGCACACTGGAGCACTGGAACCTGGAAGAGAACAGCTGGCTGGCGCACATGTGCACAATGGAACCCAGAAGAGCCACTGGCAACAGCGTGCATGCACACAGAGAGGGCGCTGCATACCACCTCTGGCCTTAGGTTCAACATCACAGATGTAGGCTAAGGAGACATTATGTTTTCTCTTATAAAGTGAATCTTGACCATAAGTTCCAGTTCCAACGGAGATGTTGAGAAGCATATCTACTGGTGCTCATTCTTATTGGTACTCATTGCCTAATTAGTCATGCTTTTATTCTTTACACTAGAGAAGCCCATAGCAATTTGCAAGCAATGCTCCGGTCTCAGAAGGCATTACCTATCACAAGTCATTTCTAAGGCAGAAAGTAGGGTGTTGCCTTTGAAGGTCAAGTGGATCAAGAAAGGAAACTTGAGCCGTTACCTCGTCAATTAAGAACCGAATCCTCTCTATAAATTTTTGTGTTTCACGCATCATTTCATCTAGCGAAATCTTCTTTTTTTGCTGCTGGAGAATCCCTTTAGCATCCCTCGACATGGCTTCCTGTAAAAGCACAGAGAAACAACGGATTTGCAGTAGTGGCGAATATCTGTAGCTCAGGTGTAGGAGGAGGGTAGAGTTTCATTCCCCGAGCTTGGGGATTGGTTTCCAAACATTTTGTTACCAGGCTAGGTAATATCTTCAGGGGAATTTAGGGAAATCGTTCCTTAAATCTTTCCTGAATCGCTCCCTAAATTCCTGGTCATGGAAGGTTTGGTAATAAAACCAACCCAAAAGCTTGGAGAACAGACCTCAACCCCCAATAGCATTTAGATTTATATACCACTTTACAGTGCTTTACAGCCCTCTCTAAGCAGTTTACAGAGTCAGCCTATTGTCCCCAACAATTACCGACCTTGGAAGGATGGAAGGCTGAGTCAACCTTGAGCCTGGTGAGATTTGAGCTGCCAAATTGCAGACAGCTCTGCTGAGAAAGAAAGAAGGAGAGAGAGAAACAGAGACAGAGAGAGAAGGAAAGAAGGGGGAAAGAAAAAGAAAGGTAGGGAAGGAGGGAAAAAGAAGAGGAAGGAAGGACTACAACCTGGCACTAGATACAGCTTCAGAGAATAATCCAGGGTTGGAAGGGACCTGGAGGTCACCTAGTCCAACCCTGTTCCAGCAGGACATTGTTAAAGTGAGTTTCTGTCTTTTGACCCCCCAGTTACATGACTACATAGTCACATGACCCCCAACAAGCCACACCCACCAAGCCATGCCCACAGAATTTAGATTTCACCACTGGTCTGTAACCTTAAACACTCAAAGAGCCACAAAAGTCCTAACCAGAAGTCTCCTCCCGACATTCAATTCTAGACCTGACTGGTTCCCCCACCATAGAGTCTCCTCCTAGCATGGCATCCTTTTTCCTCTGCCAACTGGAAGTCCAGTTCCCCCCTCATAGAGTCTCCTCCTTGTGCGGAATCCTTTTTCCTCTTCCTCTACCTGTCCTAACTGAAAGCCCTATCAATTGTGGAACCGACCGGCAACAGGGAGCCACAGCAGAGGGATGAAAGAGCCACATGCGGCTCCAGACCCAGGGGGTTGCCGACCCCTGCTCTAGCAGTCTGCCCTCTATAACTGTCTGGTTTGGTTCTGCAACCCAACACGACAGACACAGACTTCAGAGGATAACCAGAACTCAGAAAAAAACAATTACTGCCAACCTGCCTTCCATTGAGGACCTGTATACTGCACGAGTCAAAAATATTTACAGACCCCTCGCATCCTGGACATAAATTATTTCAACTCCTACCCTCAAAACGATGCTATAGAGAACTGCACACCAAAACAACTAGACACAAGAACAGTTTTTTCCCAAACGCCATCATTCTGCTAAACAAATAATTCTGTCACCACTGTCAAACCATTCATTAAAGCTGCACTACTATTACTATTAATCTTCTCATTGTTCCTATCACCCATCTCCTCCCACTTGTGACTGCAGGACTATAACTTTGTTGCTTGTATCCTTACAATTTATATTGATATTGTTTCCTGATTGCTTATTTGTACCCTGTGACTATCATTAAGTGTTGTACCTTATGATTCTTGACGAAGATATCTTGTCTTCTTATGTACACTGAGAGCATATGCAGTGCACCAAAGACAAATTCCTTGTGTGTCCAATCACACTTGGCCAATAAAGAATTCCATTCTATTCTGGTCCCATTGACTGACTCAGATTCGATCTTGGAACAGTTTATTCAGTTTATTCATTACATTATAGTTAAACCATACATGGCTTAGCACAAATATAATGCCAGACAATTGGTCCAGCAAGTTTCTAATTCATTCCCACAACAGCCTAATCAAATAGTCCACATACCAGTTCTTGCTTGCACAGTTTCAATCTTTTTTTATCCAAAGCTGTCCGATTCAAGAGTTTGGGCTTTTTTTCAGCATTTGTGATAAAGGCCCTATGGATGCACAAAGGAAGCTTTAGAGGCAATAAAAGAACATTTCTTTAATATATATATATATATCCCCTGGTAGCGCTTCTACCAGGATATACTTTGATTTAGCAAAGTAGAGAGGCAGAATATACTAAGAGCTTTAATTTATAATATTAAAATAGAATCATCATTTTTATTTATGAAAAATATGAGGCTTCAGAAACACAATTTCTATGCTAATATTCCAAAGGAAATTAAATTTATTGGGGGAATAGGTTGTTATTTTTCACCCTCCATCGCTGCACCCAATGGAAGTTTAAACAAATATGCCTAATTATGTTGATCTTGTGGATTTTGGCAATATCTGTTTGCAAGAATTGTTAATGAATACTTCCAATCAATGTTATGTTCTTCTGGAAGATGCAAACACTTGCTGGATTATCTAGTAATGAACTGCTGGTAAATTTATAAAGGAAAAAACAATTGAAAGTAGATCTTTGCATAAAATTGGAATCAAAGCCAGTAATAACTTTTATACTTATAGGATATAAGAAAAGCAAGCAATTCTGAATTAGTTGTTGAAAGTTACAATGGCGCTGAAAAATGGCGCTGAAAAATGGCGCTGTTTCTGTTGTTGTTTCTGCTGTTTACAATGGCGCTGTTTCTCACAGTTACGATCTCTGCAACATCCCCATGATCATGTGATCAAATTCATTTGCTTGGCAACTGCTTCATATTTATGACCGTTGCTGTTTCCCACGATCATAATCCTGCCGGAACCCAGCCCTGATGTGATCCCCTTTTGTGACCTACTGACAAACAACGTCAATGGAGAAGCCAGTTTCACTTAACAACCTGGTTACTAAGTGATTCTCTTAACAACTATGGCAAGGAAGATCGTAAAAATCGGGCAAAACTCACTTAACAAATGTATTACTTAACAACAGAAATTGTGAGCTTAATCGTGGCCGTAAGTTGAGGACTACCTGCAAACTAGCTCTCTCTACATGATTCAGAAAGTGTAACTTTTCCAAACATCACCAGTTTCTATCAACCATGTAGGACTATTCTGAGAGGTTTCTTCCCTGAGTATTCTTACCTACTTTGCTTGATAAAATCACTCAGAGTCGACTTTATTTTCTCTTCTGATGCAACTTCAGAAACTTTAATGAGATCTTTCACTTGCTCCAAACCTTCTTCCTGAAAGATAAAGAGGAGAGCAATATTATGAAGGGCATTAAAATAATTCCAAACAGCAATTGATGCTTTGAGGTAAAGGTAAAAGTTCCCCTTGCACCTATGTACTAGTCGTTCCCGACTCTAGGGGGCGGTACTCATCTCCATTTCAAAGCCAAAGAGCCAGCGCTGTCCGAAGACGTCTCCGTGGTCATGTGGCCAGCATGACTAAATGCTGAAGGTGCATGGAACTCTGGTACCTTCACACCAAAGATGGTTCCTATTTTTCTACTTGAATTTTTACATGTTTTAAAATTGCTAGGTTGGCAGAAGCTGGGACAAGTAACGGGAGCTCACTCCATTACGCTGCGCTAGGGATTTGAATCCCCGAACTGCCGACCTTTCTGATCGACAAGTTCAGCATCTTAGCCACTGAGCCACTGCGACCCATATTCTTTAGATATATATTATTGTTGGAATATTTTTTTATCCATTATGGTTTTTTATCTATACATATATGCCTTATACATCTATGTATGTATGTATGTATGTATGTATGTATATATGTTATGTATGTATGTATGTATGTATGTATACACACACGCACACACACACACATACATACATATCTTCTATCTCTAATAATTCCATATAATATATCTTTTTCATACATTTGATCATATTTCATACTATTTTTATATACAATATATCTTATATTTTTCCCTCTTGCTAATTCTGCAGTTTTGTATTTATTTTCTGGTCTCTTAATCTTTTTTTCCCCCTTTTATTGCTTTCCTACTTTTCCCCTCTTTAGCCATTTGCACCATACTAAGTAATACTCAGATTCCTCTTTGTCTTTTAGTTCTTTTGTGAGTCTATCCATTTCGGTGCATTTATTGTTGGAATATTTTTATATGCTTACAATAAGGAAGACAGTAGCTGGTTCCCACTGTTAGTATAAATAGGTGAATCTTTCATGTAACAAAAGAAAACATATATTTAGAAAAACACATGTATAGGAAAGAAAAAAATGCCCGTTGTTTAGCTGCAGCTAAAGAAACATCTGCTAAACTCTAAATAATGAAGTTTGCTGAAACTTTAAGATAAGAAAACATGTATTTAAAGAATATAAAAGGAAACTTTTCACGAATGAAGGCAAATATAAGTATCCCGGAATAATGTTGCAGGATCCAATCTAGGTCAGTCACCGGGACAAGAGGTTAGTCTTTTGAATTTTTTGATTCCTGCTGAAGCCCATTCTCAGGGAACTTCCCTCTCCTGGAATATGTACTTTGAGCTATTCTATGCATCATATTTATGGGGTGTCTGGTTGTGCATAATTTTTTAGTTGTTGATTTGGGTGTTGATGCACAAGATGTTGATGCTGATAGGGTCAATAGGAAACTCTTGTAATAAGCCAATATATTTTATACCATTGATAATGATCGACTAAATCTTTAAAAGACTTATAAGTAGATGGTGCAGCCATCCATCCAAAGCAACTCGACAACTTTGGCTGAATAAATATATTTCGACTCTCCACTGATTGTCTGGTGTGTTTTATTAAAATCCCGACTTGAGAAAAAGAGAAAAGAAAGAAGTCTAATCTTTCTGACACTATTAAAAGGAAGACTGTGTGACAAGTGATACACCATAATAGTAATACAAACTGTTGGAAGAAATGTCATTCTGGGTTCATCTCCAAGTGGGGGAAAAGATAGGGGAAACATGGAGACCGCTTGGAAAGATGGTTTAATAGTGGACAGGACCACATGGCTTCAGGTCTTGGGGAAAAAGGTGATCACATGCTTCAAGATGTTGGGCGAAGAAGAAAAGAGAAAGAAGGGCTGAAAGTTCCTGGCTTTACACTCTCTGTTCGATCCCACCGCTCTGTTTCCTGTTCCTGTGTAAGAAATGTATTCTGATTGGTTGTCAGACTCCCATGGGGCCATGCAGGGCAACTCTTTAGGTTGTGCTTTGAATCCAAGTTTGACTGAGTTCCCAGATGCCATGGGGTGAATTTCTATATAAGGCTAGTCCTATCTTTGTTATGTAAAGTAGACTAGCTCAGGCATTTTAATGGCCCATAAAGAAAAGTGCGGGGCTATTAAGAGTGAGTCTGTTTCCTGCCTAAAAAACATGTTTCTCCATTCCTGATCCAGGGAAATACAATATTCTGCCTTTTCAATATTTCCTAGGATACTTCATTCTTCTAGGAGAGAGGTGGGTGCTAACTCCTACAAAACCTAAACCATTTTTACTAGAGAGTGAATATACCAGCTCCTTCTCACTGGATTCAAAACAGTTTAATTAACAGAAAGATTTCCAATAAGAGATGTGTGTTCACTCTAGAGGGAAATTACTGTATTATAAAAACCTATTTATTTAGTCAATTTGTACGGCTACCCATTTTGCAAATGCAACTCAGTGGATAACCAGGGACTTTAGGAAGTCTACGAATTTAATAAATAGAAGCAACCCCTCGAAAATAACAGCCAAAGCGTAGGAGCACAATGCACTCTCAGTATGTATTCAGCATTTCAAACCATCCAGAAAAGGCTGCTCACTTATGCCAGTTCAAACAACTGAGTTGATTGATTGGTTGATCGATTGAAAATTAGTCCCCTTCGGGGAAAAGGGCAGCATAGAAATATAATAAATTCAATTCAAAATTGTTTCACAAAGACGCATTCTCTGTGTGCGGCTCAAACATCAGCATTATTCCAAACTTACCAAGAGATCTCCCATTTTTTCCAGGGTATTTGAGAAATACAGCCTAAAGGTTTGAGTCCCCCAAAAGCTCTTGACATAAACACAAGGCTTCTTCTCACCGTATGGCAAGTATAGGTAGTTTCTGTTGAAAGAGAAGAATGCTCATTGGTCCGTTGAGACCCACTGCCCAAGTCAGGACTTGGAGGTCTTCTAATCCAACCAATTTTCTGGGAAGTCAGGGGAGGGAAGACTGGGGGGGGAGGGTGGAGGGTGGGAGGGATGCATATTAGGCTTGACGAGGGGTGTTAAATTTTAATGTAATATGATTGCACATGTATACTGTCTTCTCTTGTTTTTTCTTTAAAACTAAGATATGTTAAGTATATTGATATGGAAGCATAAATACCATCAACATAGAATGGAGTTTGCTCAGAAGC